GAATTTGTGATCATAATTGCTGTTCATTGTTATGCTGTTAATTATTTAAAAGTATCACAAACATTTGCATTTATTAAATTTTTTAATGCAAGTGATGGACTGGTAATCAGCAGTTCTTCTCCCTCCCCCCATTTTTTTTTTCTTTTTGCCAGAGTTTATGGTTGATTACTTCATTTCTAGCCTTAAAATACAGAAATTCAACAAATATTTATTCCTACATACCAGACACTTTGGTATATATATTCACAGATACATAATAGTGAATAATACAGATTGTTCTCTTTAACAGAGTTTATATTCAAACATATTGCTTGATTTCTTTTGTGAGTGGTTTAAATTGGGTGTTGGCAAACTTTTTCTGTTAAGGACCCGATAGTATTTTATGCCTTGTGGCCTAAAATTTATATAAAGAATTCAAACAACAGAGTAACAATAATAAAAAATCTGATTTAAAAATGGATAAAAGACCTAAATAGGCATTCTGAAATTTGAAAACATATAACAGGTATATGAAAAAATGTTCAACATAATTCATCATCAAGGAAATGGAAGTCAGAACTACAATGACATATCACCTCACCCTAGTTATGGTTATTAACAAAAAGACAAAAAATAAATGCGGTGAGGATATGGAGAAAGGAGACTTTTATACAGTTAATGTCAATCTAAATTAGTACAGCTATTATGGTCATCAGTATGGAGGTTGCTCAGAAAATTAAAAATAGAACGACCACATGACCAAGCAACTCCATTTCTTGGTATATGCCTATCTCAAGGAAATTTAATCAGTATGTTGAAGATCTGCACTTCCATGTTTATTGCAGCACTATTCACAACAGACAGTTTGTTTATCTTAAAAAATAGTTTAGTCCTTGACAGTTTTTGAAATGTTATTCTTAAATCATTTTAATTGCATTACTTCTTCCTCATCCTTTCATGATTTTGTGAGCTAACTCTTCCTCCTGTCTGTCAAATAGCTGTTTTTCTTTAAGTGCAGTTCTTGGTTCTCTGTCTCTCTGTATTCTTTCTCTCAAGCCTTAGTCACTTAAAAAATTATGTGTTATAGACAATTTCCAAAATCTATGCATCTATACCTTACCTTTTTTGATCTAGTTATAACTCCAAATCTAACTTATCTAAAATCTGTAAATGTTACGTACTTTGGTTCTTTGAGCTTGAAACCTTATTTTGAGTCATTTTTTAGGTCTATTTAATCACCATCAAGGAAATATGGGAGTTGTAAAGATGGACAATAACATGTGAAAACTTGTGGAGGCATCAGAAATTATTTAGAATTTAGGAAATGTATATTTAGGGTAAGGCAAATGTGGAGAATGTGGCAAATGTTGGTCTGTTATTCCTTTGGAATAATAGATCAGGAGGGGCTTTTCTCAGCAATCATACACTCAGCATTTCTCAACAAGGAGCTGAGAAAATGAATATTATTAATTGGCGAAATAACATACAGAAGGAGAAAAAGCAGGTTTGGAAGTGGAAGGGAACCTTACAAAAAAAGAGAGCTCAGTTCTGTAGGTATTAAATTTGAGGGTGTCTGTGGGCTGCCCAGGAGGCGTTTGTATGTAAAGATCTGAATCTGAGAAAAAGTTTTAAGTTGGAGATGTAGATATGGAATATAGTAGGGTACAGGTGGTAGTTAAATCAGTAGTATAATTGAAACCACCCACAGATAATATGTTGAATGAAAACTGGGCCAACTCTGCAACAACCACGTTTTGGCGAGAAGAAAGCCTGGAAGGGAAGTCAAGAAAGCAGGTGACTGAAAAGCATTCCTTGAATTTGGCTGTGAGGAGGACATCAGTGATTTGTTTCAGGGGAGTTGTATGAGCAGAAGCGTGATTACAGTGATATGAGATGTGAGTAAAAAGTGAGGTGAGGCAGTAGAGACAGGTAATACAGACTAATATTAAAGAAGTAGGATTCTTATGTGAAAAAGGTATATCATGGTGCTTTTGATGGCAAGTTGCAGGATAGTCAGTTTTAAAATGGGCTTAAATGATGAAAGAGATTTATCGGCTTATGGAATGGCAAAGTCCATTGATAGTCAGAATGTTTCAGGATTGGGGTTTGCAGGCAGAGCTGGTGGAAGGACTGGGATAGAGGATGAGAGTGTGTTTATGAGAAAGGGATAAACCTTGAGGTTTAGGCTAGATATGGAAGGAGCTGAAAGCAGGAGGGGCTGATACTGAGAAAAAAGTGTAGGTCACGGAAAGCCAGAGGTCTAATTTCATGTAAGTAAAGGAATGAAAACAGGAAGGTTGTGGTTTACTAATAAGGGCTTTCTCTAGCTAGGCTAACTTAGCTGCAGTTATCCAAATAGGCTTTATACATTGCAGCTTTCAAAATCCACTTCTCGTATTTTGTAGCATAGTTGTTTACTTGCTGGCTCTTCTGCCAGGAAATAAAAATAGAACATTGTTAATTCTTTGTCACTCATGGGTACAACATTGGTACTCATACAAAGGTATGAAACAGAAGATCCTCATAAGATGTGAAGCTTTTCTTTGTGTATATATGAAAATGAACATGTTGGTCTTGGCAAAATTATGAGGTTGCTATCTTTTGTGGTCATACCCTTTCTTTGTCTTGTGTTGTTGCTGCCCTCCCCCGTTTTAGGTATACTTTTTTTCTCTTTTCAAATAGAAAAAGGTGCTTCATATTTATTCATGGCACATGTTGATTATTCTAGATGTTTACATTTCTAAGTTGTCTTTCAAGTTCAGTGCTGTTGAGTTTAGTGGTATTTGAATTAGGTAAACGTGGAGTGGTGTGCTATAAGAATATTAATTCAAGTCTCACTTTGTGTGTAAAATTTAAAGTAATATGAATTCCTTCAAATTAATAATGCATTGAGTTATATAATCTCAAAGCTAGCAGGCCAAATAAATTGAAAAGAGCCACATGGCAGTGTACTTCTTTAGGACTGGTCTTGAGTTTTGGCAACTTTAAATTATGATAGGTCTCAGAGTCACTTCTGGCTGGAAAAAAGATTTTTAAAATATTATGATAGGTCTTTAGGACATTTGTCTTATAAAATGCCACTACCCTGTATAGAGTGAAAGGAATTTCTGAGACTGGGAATAGTTAGGAGACGTGTTTGGGGGAGACTGATATTTCTTAATACCGCTAAAAGCATATAATTTCTAGAAATGCTGCTGAAGATTAAATCTGCTTTAGTTGTTTTAGAGTGCTTAGAAAGGTTAGAATAATGATTTAAGACTTCCTTTCTTCCCCTTCCTTATCTCTATATCCTGTGATGAGCCTTTGTTCCATGCTACCACCCCTGGCTTTTTATGGCATGATGTTCATACAAAAGTTATGGAAAGTAATTTATATAAATAAATGTAAAGTAATTCTGTCCTGGGTGCCTGCTGCTTAAGAATTATCTAAAGTGATCTTGGGGAAAGGATTTGTAAGGAATTAAGAAATCCCCACCCCTGCTATTTGAGAACAAGATCTAAGGCCTTCTATTCTGTGTGTATGTGTGTGGGTGATGTTAAATTGTCTATGGAAGGAAAAAGTTGATCATAAAAATGCTGCTAAAGAACTAATAGTGAAGAATTGTGGTAAGATATACTAGATGGTCATTTATGTGGACTGTTTCCTATTAAGGCAAAATTGGTGACATTTAAAACATGACAGATTTTAAAAATTTTTTTTAAATGTTCATTAAGGAGCCATTTTATATAAAGATATTGGTATATGTTAGGCTTTTAAATGTGATCTGCATTTTAACAGGGGTAGAAAATGGTAACTGATCTGAAGTGGAAATTCTGGTTAAATACAGCATGTCTAGTCTAGTCCATTGCTATGCATAGGATCCATCTGTCTATCCTTGAGAAACTGTAAATTGGAGGTTAGATAAGATAATAACACATGAAATGACTAGAGGAATGGTATCAGATTGTATGGAATTGGTTGATAGATTTCATTTAGATGCTAGATAGGATGCTCTGGGCTACATGTTTGTATAGGATATGCCTTAAATTCAGTGGGGAGTTGATAGAGAGAAAAAGTACATTGCTCATAGGTAACATTAGACTTCAGAAAGGGGAAAGATCATAGAGTATGACCAGGAGGACTTCTAGAAAAAAAGAACTTTTGAACTGCTCTTTGAAAGATGGATACAATTTGGGTTGACAGAATAGAGGACATTCCAGGTTGAGCAGATTCAAGAGAAAAATCACTGGAGGTAGAAATAAGTTTGTCATAAATTGAGTAGAGAAAAAGATTCGGCCAGGTGTGGTGGGTCACGCCTAAAACTTTGGGAGGCCGAGGCAGGCGGATCACTTGAGGTCAGGAGTTCAAGACCAGCCTGGCCAGCGTGGTGAAACCTCATCTGTACTAAAAAAAATACTAAAATTAGTTGGGCATGGTGGCGTATGCCTGTAATTCCAGTTCCTAGAGAGGATGAAGCAGGAGAATCCCTTAAAGCTGGGAGGTGGAAGTTGCAGTGAACCAAGATTGCACCATTACACTACAACCTGTGGAACAAAGAGTGGAACTTCATCTCAAAAAAAAAAAAGATTGGCCTGTCTTGGTAACAGTGACCCTGGTATCTGGTCTAAAATGAAGATTCTGAAGCTAGGAATTACAAAATGAACATGGTCTTTTTTTCTCCCTGTCCTGATGATTTTACTTTTATGTTTTTTTTTCCCTTAAATAAAGATCACAGTCTAAAATATTTGTAAAGTTAAAAAAATCATTTTTGAGAGAAGTTTAAGTATTAAATAGATCTTAATGTCTTCAATATCCCTTTGAGATGTTTAGGTTAACTAGCACATTGAAATTTGCTTGCGGCACATATATTAGCGTATTTGTCAGTGTGCTTGGGTGCCTCTCTGACTTTATCCAAGGTATTCACCGTTCAATTCTTAGTTTGTAGAAGAAATGGCAACATTGGAAACAATAACTTATTTTAATTCTTTAATTATATTATAGTTGTATCTCAGTCCATTTTTCCAACTTTATTTTTATCTTAGGTCAACAGGACGTACTGCTGTGGCACCTACCGAGCAGGTCCTATGCGGCAGATAAGTCTTGTTGGAGCAGTAGATGAAGAAGTTGGTGATTATTTCCCAGAGTTCCTTGATATGTTAGAAGAATCACCATTTCTGAAAGTGAGTATTAATTAAGATTATTAAAGTTTGGATCTTTACTTAAGTGGGCACTTTATATTAACGAGTATTAAGCTAATATTGCCTATTGAAAACAGAGTCTTGCTCTGTTGCCAGACACCAGGCTGGAGTGCAGTGGTGCGATCTCGGCTCACTGCAACCTCCGCCTCTTGGGTTCAAGCAATTTTCCTGCCTCAGCCTCCCGAGTGGCTAGGACTACAGGCATGCACCACCACGACCAGCTAATTTTTGTATTTTTTTTTAGTAGAGACGGGGTTTCACCATGTTGGCCATGGTGGTCTCGATCTCTTGACCTCATGATCCGCCCACCTCGTCCTCCCAAAGTGGTGGGATTACAGGCGTGAGCCACCGTGCCTGGCTTAAATTCAATTTTTAAAAATATAATTTACTGTGTAAATAGCATTTATTTCTTTATATACAGTTGTAAAAAAGTCTTCTTAGAACTTTTATTTGGGGAGGGGGGATTAACTTATAAATCATTGAAACGATTTTTTAATGTGACTAATTCATCTGATTTCTAGATGACTTTGCCCTGGGGTACACTTTCCAGCCTCCGACTCCAGTGTAGGTCCCAGAGTGATGATGGGCCTATAATGTGGGTAAGGCCAGGAGAACAGATGATCCCTACAGCAGATATGCCAAAGTCACCCTTCAAGAGACGACGGTAAACATTTCTTTTCTCAGATAAGCAAAACTACTTTTTTTTAGTTGGTTTCTTATAAAAATGAGTATAGGTTGAAAACCATTTGTCTTGAAGGGGCTCCCTTAAGTAAATTTTTTAGTTGTCAGTTCCTTGTTCCAGTCCACTCATTACATAGTTATCAAAGTGAAGCATTTTTCTAAAACACGAATTTAATTTGTATTTATATTTTTAAAACCCATGCCCTAACACCCTGCAGGATAAAAGATCAAACCCCTCAGTGTGGTTTACAAGGATTTTTCATAATCTGGTCAACTGTACCTTTTCTAGATGTATCTGTTTCTAATCTTCTCCGACCATACTGAATTCACTTTCCAAACCATAAACTATCAAAACTCTTTGCTTTTGTACTATTCTTTTTACTTGGAATGGCATCCTCTCTCTCATCTTCCACTCTACTTTGCAAACTTTTTTTTTCTTATGAGACAGGGTCTCATTCTGTTGCCCAGAGCTAGAGTGCAGTGATACAATCATAGCTCACTGTAGCCTTGAACTCCTGGGCTCAGGAGAGCCTCCCAAGTAGCTGTGGCTATAGGCATGCACCATCAGGCCCGTCTGATTAAAAAAGTTGTTTTGTGTATTTTGTTTATGTAGAGTTGGGGTCTTGCTATATTGCCCAGGCTGTTTTTTAACTCCTGGCCTCAAACGATCCTCCACCTCAGCCTCCCAAAGTGCTGGGATTACCATCCCACAGCAAACTGAATACATTTTCAAAACTTAGCTTGAGCTGGGCACAGTGTCAGATGCCGGAGCCTGAAGTAGGAGGCTCAGTTGACCCCAGGAGTCCATGACAAGATCCTGTCTCAAACCAAAACCAAACAAAACCTAACTTGGATGGCACCTCCTTTGTTAAGCTTTTCTTTCCTCCCTTAGGTAATTAATTGTTCCCTTCTCTGTGCTATAGTGTTCTGTTCATTAAAGTTCTTGTTTACATGTTTTTATTTTTTTACTAATATTTGAGGTTTGCTTTGGGAGGACAGGGACTGTTTTATTCATCTTTGTCCTCATGCCACATAGTAGGTAACCAGTATGCGCTGCATGAAACCAATAATGTACTATAGTACGGAGCCTCAGTAGTTCATGTTGTGCTAACATATTTTGTCTTTCAGACTCTAAAGACAAATGTAGATTTAACTCATTCTCTAGTACTTTGAAAAATCTAATTTAATGAGACTGAAATGACTTATACCTGCTTAGACTATGATAATAGCAATTTAAAAGGAGTACCCAAAAGTGAGTTTTAATGGACTAATCTAAACCATAACTTAAGTTTCATAGGAGAACGATAACTTGAGCTAAGTATGGAATAATCTTAGGTACTTGAAATGTATGAAAATACTTTGTAATTAATTATATATGAATGCAGGGTGGTGGCATGGTAAAAACCCAGGAGTCACTTGAAAGTTCTGTGCATTGTTAGATTATAGCAGTTTTGTTGCAGGATGATGATGAATCTTGAAATTTTATTAAATTCTTAAGTACTATATGCATTTTTTGTTCCATAATCTTTCCCCCCAAAGTGACCATCATTTGTTTCCTGGTTATTATAAACTTAAGAAAAAAATAATAGAAAAGAGTAAAAAGGCCAGGCATGGTGGCTCACACCTATAATCCCAGCACTTTGGGAGGCCGAGGTGGGTGGATCACCTGAGGTCAGGAATTGGAGACCAGCCTGGCCAACATGGTGAAACCCCATCTCTACTAAAAATACAAAAATTAGCCGGGCGTGGTGGTGCATTCCTGTAATCCCAGCTACTTGGGATGCTGAGGCAGGAGAATCACTTGAACCTGGGAGGCGGTGGTTGCAGTGAGCCGAGGTCACACCACTGTACTCCAGCCTGGGCAACAAGAGCAAGACTCCGTTTCAAAAAAAAAAAAAAAAAATTAAAATGAGGGCAGGCACAGTGGTTCACACCTGTAATCCCAGCACTTCGAGAGGCTGAGGCAGGCAGATTGCTTGAGTCCAGGAGTTCAAGACCAGCCTGGGAAACTTGATAAAACCCTGTCTCTACTAAAAATACAGGAATCAGTGTGGTGGCGTGCTCCTGTAATCCTAGTTACTTAGGTGGTTGAGGCATGAGAATCCCTTTAACTCAGGAGGCCGAGGTTGCTGTGAGCTGAGATGTTGCCTGTATGCTGCAGTCTGGGCAACAGAGCGAGACTCCACTCAAAAAAAGAAGTAGAAAGAAGGCAGAAAGCCACCATTTAGAAATATTAACCTTTCAAATTATATATACTCATAAATTATCTTTTTACAAAAACCTATTCTTTGTGTGATGTTTACTTTAAAACTTGGAAATTTTTTCCCCTTAGGCCTATGTGTTATATTAAGATATAGCTATATAATTTCTAAACAAATGTATGGCTGTATCAAGATTTATTTAACCAATTCTTGGTTTTGTTTTTTTTTTTTTCTTTGAGGTAGGGTTTCACTCTGTCACCTAGGCTGGAGTGCAGTGGCACGAGGAATCAGCATTCACTCTAGCCTCTACCACCTGGGTTCAAGTGATTCTCCCACCTCAGCCCCCCAAGTAGCTGGGATTACAGGTGCCTGCCACCATGCCTGGCTATTTTTTTTAATTTGATTTTAATTTTGGGTCTCACTGTGTTGCCCAGGCTGGTCTCCAACTCCTGAGCTCAAGTAATCCTCCTGCCTTAGTTCTTAACATCTCTTTGTTAGTGTAATTTTTTCCCAGTTTTTCAATATAAACATGATACTATTTTGAAAACATGATACTTGTATACTAAAGCCAGTTTGTACCTACTCACAAGCACCATCATGAGCATCACTTTGCAATTCCACATTGCATGATGTCACATCAGTAACTGGAAATCAGTCATGTTAGGAGTATTTATACCACAGAAATCAGCTAATCAGCTAAAATCAGCTACCTCCCCTGATCCTCAATCCAGATGTAAAACATATAGAGCCTACCACTGATTGTATATGGATGGATGTTTGGTAGTTATATATCTTTGTGCATATATGTGTTTATTTTCTTAGTAGAAATTCCTAAAGACTGAAAGTATACACATTTCTAATGCACTTTCAGAATATACCAATTTATACTCCCACTCATGTAATAATATAGTGCCCTTTTTCTCACACTCTCCACTAATGTTTTTAACTTTATTGATCTGATTGGATAAAAATGTCTCATTTTAGTTTATTTAAAAAATTTTTTTTAGGCAGAGTCTTGCTCTGTCACCCAAGCTGGAGTGCAGTGGTGCAATCTTGACTCACTGCAACCTTCACCTCCTGGACTCAAGTGATTCTCATGCCTCAGCCTCCTGAGTAGTTGGGATTACTGGCGTTCGCCACCACAGTTGGCTAATTTTTTGTATTTTTAGTAGAGAGGGGATTTCGCCATGTTGGCCAGGCTGGTCTCAAACACCTGGCTTCAAAGGATCTGCTCACCTTGGCCTCCCAAAGTGCTGGGATTACAGGCATGAGCCACTGCACCCAACCCAAAAATGTCTCATTTTAATTTGCTATTTTTTGAGGGGTTTGTTATTTTGTCTTTGGTGATTTCCTTTTAATTTTCTTTATACATATTTCTGTTTTGGTGTTTTTCTTTTGTAAAAAAACCTTTTTTCCCTTCTGTTCCAAGTTTTTCTGTTTTTTTATCTTTCAGCTTCAGTGTTTTTTCCTTACTCACAGAGGTTTTTATTTATATGATCTATGTATCTTTTCTTTTGAGGTTTCTCCTTGAGTAGTAGGCTTAGAAGAGCCTTCTCTTATTCAGTGTTATAAAATATTCACCTATATTTTCTCTTAGAGCTTCCGTGATTTCGGTATTTTCATATTTAATCTACCTAGAATTGGCTTCAGTATAGAGGAAGAGATTTACATTTTTTTCAAGTAGTTAGGCAGCTGTACCAATATCATTTATTTAATAATGCATCTGAGATGCCATCAAATTTTATTTCTGTTGGGATTAAATATTCTTAAGTGAGGCATTCAAAAGCATTTTGAATTAGAATGGAATGAATCAAAATGTAAATACTAATGTCCATCTTTTTGTGTTAGTGAAAACTTTTTGTTGTTGAAAATGGTGGAATCAATGTGGGAAGCTGTCCAGTTACCAAGGATACTGCTACTGAAGCTGATCTTTGGATTTATGAACTCTAGAGTTAGAGAAATATGTATACAGAGTTGTTTTTTTTTTTTTTTAATCAAATAATACAGCAGGACTTATAATGAAAAATCCTGCCCACTTTTCCTTCCCAGAGGCAAATACATTTTTTTTTGTTTAAATGGAGTCTGACTCTATTGCCCAGGCTGGAATGCAGTAGCGTGATCTCGCTCACTGCAACCTCCGCCTCCAGGGTTCAAGTAATTCTCCTGCCTCAGCCTCCTGAGTAGCTGGGACTAGAGGCGCATGCCACCATGCCTGGCTAATTTTTGTAGTTTTAGTAGAGGTGGGGTTTGACTGTGTTAGCCAAGATGGTCTCGATCTCCTGACCTCGTGATCCTCCCTCCTTGGCCTCCCAAAGTGCAGGGATTGCAGACATGAGCCACTGCGCCTGGCCGAAAATACATTTTTACTAGAGGCAAAACCCGTTTGTTTATAATGCTTTTAAAAAATCTTTGGCAGAGTTTTTTTTTTTTTTTAATTAAAACTTTTTTAAAATCTTGTATATATAATAGTTGTATATATGTATGATGTACATGTGATGTTTTTATTTGTTTGTTTGAGACAGAACCTTGCCCTGTTGCCCAGGGTGGAGTGCAGTGGCACCGTCTTGGCTCACTATAACCTCTGGCTTCCTGGTTCAAGCGATTCTCCTGCCTCAGCCTCCCAAGTAGCTGGGATTATAGGCATCTGCCACCATGCCTGTCTAAGTTTTGTATTTTTAGTAGAGACAGGGTTTCACCATGTTGGCCATGCAGGTCTCGAACTCCTGACTTCGTGATCTGCTTGCCTCAGCCTCCCAAAGTACTGAGATTACAGGTGTGAGCCACTGCACCCGGCCCATGTGATGTTTTTATATAGGTTTTGATTTTTTGGTATGAAATTAGGTATTTCTTCCTCTTACCTATTCTCTGAATAGTTAGATCACCCCTACTTTCTTCTTCCTCCTCATTTCTTCTTTTGGCTAGCTGTCCCAGCACATTGCTGGGGTTAATTCATATTCTATTTAAAAATTATAATTAGGTTTTACATGCCTTGTCAGTAAGTAGATTCTAAAATTTTATGGGTAGCTATGTTTGCTGCAGACCCAGCTAGTAAATTATTAATTCATATTCTAAGGTTTCAATGTTATGTCATTACTCAAAGAAAGAATATGCAAAAGCATCTTTCTTTCCTATATTTCATCTAGGTACTTAAACCCGTGTCACATTTTTAAAAAGTTTTATATTTGGTATTGTAACTTGTTTTTAAAAAAAGTCTTTTTCCTGCAGTTTCCGATTGCCCTTTCTTTTTTTTTTTTTTTTTTTTTTTTTTTTTGGTAGGAACTTAAACTTTTCTTGACCTTCTATGTATCTTCTATTCTCTTTATTGCTTCCCATCTTTTTATTTATTGCTTCTATTTTCTTTACTGCTTATAGGGTTAGAGTTAAGATACATTACTTTCTTCCAGAACCACACTGACTTTCTCATGCTTGACTATGGCTTTCTTTCATAACTTTTTTTTTTTGAGGACATTGGTGTTGGTAGTTACCTAGCATTCTGTCCTTTTATCATATCCTCATGTCTTTCTAGAATTTTTTTCATACTGTCTGCTCTGCTCTAACACATCGGTTTTTTTACATGGATATCTCTTGAAACTCTGTGGCCTACTTGTAGAAGGTTTATTCCAGTTATCCACCTAGGACTTCCCATTTAATGCTTTTCCACATTAACCTATGGTGGTTGTCTTCCTAGATTTATTTCCTTCTCTTGCTTAAGCACACTCTCAAGTAATAGTCTAACAAAGGGAAGGTATCCTGAGTCATTATATGTCTGAAAATTTCTTTTTCTGTTAATAAATATGATTAATAGTTTAGCTGAAGTCCAGAAGTTGTATTGTCCCTTAGTATTTTTAGCAGTACTCTAATGTTTTCTGGCATCTAATATTATTTACGAGAAGTGCTGATGCTGGCATAATTTTTGTTCTTTTGTAGGTAGCCTGTTTTTTTCCTTATCTGGAAGCTTATGGCATCCTCTATCATCAGCAGTCTGAAATTTCACAATGATATGTCTTGAGTCTTTCATTCTTATTTTTTAATTATATTTTTGTTGTTTAATAATCACCTTAAATTGAACGATTTATGTCTCCTTTCTGAATATTTTTCTTGCTTAATGGCTTTGGTAATTTCTTATTAATTTTTCTTCTTTCTGAAACTACTATTGGTTGAATAATAGATCTACTGGTTTGATTGTCCTCATATTTTCTATTTTTGCTTTTGATTCTGAGACATTTACTGGACTTTTGTCTTCTAACCTTTCTTTGGTGGTTTTTTTTTTTTTTTTCTTGAGACAGTCTTGCTGTTGTTCTTCTAGATTTATTTCCTTCTCTGGCTTAAGCACTGGAGTACAGTGGCATGATTGTGGCTCACTGCAACCTCCACCTCTCGTGTTCAAGTGATTCTTCTTCCTCAGCTTCCCCAGTAGCTGAGATTACAGGCGCATGTCACTACGCCCGGCTAATTTTTGTATTTTTAGTAGAGACGGGGTTTCACCATATTGGTCAGGCTGGTCTTAAACTCCTGACCTTGTGATCCGTCCACCTTGGCCTCCCAAAGTGCTGGGATTTCTTTGGTGTTTTTAAATTTTAGCATTGTTCATTTTGGTTTTTGTCTGTCAGGCTGCTGTCATCTTCAGATAGCTGGTGATTCTTGGTTGACCCATTCATATTTTAGAATAAAGCACTGGGCTTATTGAGAGTAATTATATTTTGCTGAGTAGACAGTTGTCAGTTGTCAACTTAGAGTGAACAGGAATAGAAACGGACATTAAATGATGTGTCAAGATTTCAGAGGATTATATTCTATTTTTTCTGTCAATTTTCACGTGTTTAGAGAATGTGCAGTTTTTCTGGCTGAAAGGTTATCAGGATGTTTTTGGCTATAAGCAACAAAAATTTTGATTCACACTTGTTCATAAAATGTCTATCTTATATATCAAGAAGTCCAGAGAAGTTGGTTCTAGGCACCATATGGTCAGTGTGTCAGTGCTTTTATCAAGGGACCAGATTCTTTGCTTTTCTCTGTTCTAACATTCTCTTGGCCTAGGCTTTGCACTTAGACTGGCTCCCTTTACAGTTGCTAGATGGCTGAGGCAGTTCTAGATATCACATCTGAATCTGGCTATATCTAATAGAAGAAGAGAATATCTTTTTTATACTTCTTTCCTAGGAGTTAGGAAGTTTCCCAGAAGTCTCTTCAGCAGATTTCCTTTCATGCTATTAGACAAAATCAGTTGATGACTATTCCTAAATCAGTACTATCAGGGGAACTGAGCTTACCATAATTTACCAGGACTCAGCAACTAACTCTTGAACTTTTGAATGAGGTCACATACAGGGCAGGATCAGATGCCTAATGAAAATCAGGGTTCTGTCAGGGAATTGAAGGGGAAGAATAAATGCTGGGTAGGTAGCCATAGTCTACTCCATGTGGGGCTAAATGCCTGTCTACATTTCTGTCTGCAGGGATGACTTTTTTAGTTGCAGAATTTCACTTTAATTCCCCTTTTCTCAGCCTTACTTCATTTCTGTTCATCATTATTATGCCTGACTTCTTTTTGGACTCAGGCTTTTCCAAGGGCTGTTGGGCAGGTCTGCTGCCTTTTTGTCTGCTGATCCCTTCTTGTGTATTCTATGCCTGTGGCTTTCTCTGCTCAGTTTTATTAGTCTCAGGTACTGTGATCATTTTCCATCTTGCAAAATTTTGTTGATACTGCTCATTCATTAATTCATTTCCTTTGTTGCTTCTTATTCACTATCATCTTTAGATTATTATATTTAGAAATTCTTGAGCACATATAAAAGCAGAAAACAATATAATAAACTGCTATGTGTTTAATGTACAATCAACAGCTGTCAACTCATGACTAATTGTTTCATCTGTACTCTAATCCATTCTCCCATCTAATCCCTACTTCCCCCATTATTAGTTTGAAGACTTTTACTTTCATTTTAATGTAGAAGGAGATCACATGACTGCCTAGTTTGCAATCTTGAATCAGAACTCTAGTGTCACTATAATAGGGTGATTGCCTGATGCACATGGCAACTTAGTACACCAAAACAACAGATTGCAGCAGAGAAAGAAGTTTAATTGGAGGGCGACTAAAGGAGGAGATGGGAGGAAATCTCAAATCTGTCTGCCTGAGGAGTTTGGGGGTAGGGTTTTTAAGGGTTTTGGAATGGGCTGATATGTGGAGATGTTCATTGGTCCAAGAATACAAAGTGAAGTCATGGGACAAAGAGATGAATAAACTATTCTCATGCTGATTAGGTTTTTCTGTGGGGATCTTTAAATTGGTTAGCAGCAGCTGTTTTGCCGGAATTCAGGGTCTGCTTAAGCCATCCTTAACATCGGAGATTCTATCTCAAAAGCCTTATGATGCTAATGCTATTTTTTTTTTAAAGTATATTTCTTTTTTTACAAAAACGTTTTCCCACTTCAAGAAATTCTATCTGTAGGAACAAATGGGGATGCAAATGGTCAGTATCTATTGTACAGTTTTGAAAGCTGTATAATTTTTACAAATGCAACTAGTTTACAGTAAAACTACTCTTTTAGCCATTTTTGTTTTAATTTTACAATAGCAAATCTGATTTTGATGGCTTTTTAAGTTTTGTGGGTTTGTTACATTTTTAAAAAAAAATTTGAAAAAAACCCACAAAACTTCAGTACTTGATCTTTAGTTATAAGAAAATGGGTCTAAATGCAGCCTGATTAATGCTTAATTATAGCTATATTTCTGTCTAGAGTTTTTGTTAACTGTGTGAGAGTAGCTTCACTAGTAGCATATTTTGAGACTCTGAAATGAGATGATTGACGGTAAAGAAGCCTTAAACTTTGACTTTTATTTTCTGTTGCCAGACAGAAACACTATATTTTAGTCTAATCTATGAGAACATGTTGTCCGTATATGTGGCAAAGAATATTGATACTTAGATATAGCTTTAGCTTTACTATGGCACACAGGGAGAGGAAGGTAATTATATTAAGCATTATAATATAGTGTGTTAGATGCTAATGATCATAATCTTTGAACTCTTTTCAGTCTTCATCTTATTTAAATCTGGTATTTTAGCAGACTTTTTTGCCTTACTGCTACTAATTATTTTATTTTATTTTTTTTGGTCTCCTTCTTCCTTGCCTACCCTTTGTTTAACAACCAAATCAACTCTAGATCAATGAATGAAATAAAAAATCTCCAGTACCTACCTCGGACCAGTGAACCCCGCGAAGTCCTCTTTGAAGATAGGACGAGAGCTCATGCTGATCATGTGGGTCAGGGGTTTGACTGGCAGAGTACGGCTGCTGTTGGAGTTTTGAAAGCTGTACAGTTTGGTGAATGGTAAGTTAATGGGACTCAGCTGCAAGTTTGGTTAATATTTTATAAGACAATGTAGACTAAAGGTTTAGGACCAGTTTTCAAATTGTGGTAAAACACACAAAATTTGCCATCTTAACCATTTTTAAATGTCCAGTTGGTAAAGTTAAGCATAATTACATTGTTATGAAACAGAGCTCCAGAAACTTTTCATCTCACAAGGCTTTAACTCTATACTCACTGAACAAAAATGCCTTTTTTTTTTTTGAGGCAGAGTGTTGCTCTTGTTGCCCAGGCTGTAGTGCAATGGTGCGATCTCAGCTCACCGCAACCTCCACCTCCCAGGTGTCAAGCAAATCTCCTGCCTCAGCCTCTCAAGTAGCTGGGATTACAGACATGTGCCACCATGCCCAGCCAATTTTTTGTTTTTAGTAGAGATGGGGTTTCTCTACGTTGGTCAGGCTGGTCTCGAACTCCCGACCTCAGGTGATCCACCCGCCTTAGCCTCCCAAAGTGCTGGTATTACAGACGTGAGCCACTACATCCAGCTAACAATTCTCTTTTACTCTCAGCCCCAGGCTCTGGTAACCATCATTCTACTTTCTGTTTCTATGAATTTGACTACTTTACATACCTCATATAGATGGAATCATATAGCATTTGTCTTTTTGTGACTGGCTTATTTCTCTTAGCATAATGTCCTCAAGGTTCATCTGTGTTGTAGCAAGTATCATAATCTCCTTCCTTTTTTAGGCTGAATGATTCATTGTATGTGTATACCACATGTTGTTATCTATCAGTGATAATGAGTTTATCTATCAGTGGACACTTGGGTTGCTTCCACCTTTTGGCTTTTGTGAATAATGCTGGTGTGAACATGGGTATATAAATATCTTCTTTATGTCCCTGCTTTCAATTCTTTCGGGTATACACCCAGGAGTGAAGTTGCTGGATCATATGGTAGTTCTATTTGTAACGTTTTGAGAAACTGCCAGACTGCTTTCCGTAGTGGCTACACCATTTTACATTCTGTTGAGGCCCAGTTTTAACAAAACTCAGGACACACAGATACAAAGTGGTAAGAGGACTACAAATGCAGCTAGTTTACAATAAAGCTATTCTTTTTAGCCATTTTTGTTTTAATTTTACAACAGCAAATGTGATTTTCATGGCTTTTTAAGTTTTGTGGGTTTTCTTCAAATTTAAAAAAAAATTGTATACCTAGTCATTAGAAGCTATGCATCTATTTCTCTGCTAGTAGAAGCATTTCCAAGAATAAAAGAACTGAGATTTCTCATCACTTTTCATTGTGAGATGTTTGTCTCTAAAATTTAATTTTGTTAATCTTAGGAGTGACCAACCTCGCATAACCAAAGATGTGATTTGTTTTCATGCTGAGGATTTTACTGATGTTGTACAGAGACTTCAGTTAGACCTTCATGAACCTCCAGTTTCCCAGGTAATAACTTATTTTTTATTACCATTTGAATGAGATACTGGAAATAAATATACACATTTTATTTTGAATTTTATCTTATAGTTTGATATGTGTGATAGTGAATTTAATTTTATTACTATTAAAGACTGAGTGGGGGTAGTGCTAAAAATCATTTAAACAGAGCTTCCTAAGCAGAATGCTTGAAATCCCTTCAATCTTTGGGATACCAGGGGGGCCTGGGATGGTTAGAGGGCCCAGGCTGCTCATTATGGCCATGAGCTGTCTCACTTGTTAACCCCATTGCACTGTGTCCCCTCAACCGCAAAAGGTTTGAAAGACACACTAAATGAAAAGAGAACATGTTGCCCTTATGTGTGGCAAAGAATATTGATACTTAGCTGTACTTTGAAATACTTTTTCTTTTGAAATGGAGTCTGGCTCTGTTGCCCAGGCTGGAGTGCAGTGGCACAGTCTTGGGTCACTGCAACCTCTACCTCCTAGGTTCAAGTGATTCTCCTCCCTCAGCCTCCCTAGTAGCTGGTACTATAGGTGCGCGTCACCACGTTTGGCTGATTTTTGTATTTTTAGTAGAGACGGGGTTTCACCATATTGACCAGGCTGGCCTCGAACTCCTGACCTCGTGATCTGCCCGCCTCTGCCTCCCAAAGTGCTGGGATTACAGGTGTGAGCCACCACACCCAGGCTGAACTACTTTTTAAATGATTCCCTAGGCCATCCTGATTTTAACCTGTACTTTGTTACTAGAGAAGTAGTAAAATAAGTGGAAAAGAATTTCCCAAGCATTACAGGAATTTTTAGAAAGTTATTAGTATTGCCTATTTTAATTTGATTGTATTTATAATACATATTGTTTCTGTTTTCCTTTGCTGATTATGTTGTCTAAATTACTACATACTTTAAGGTCTTACATAACTTTTTTCTTTCTTCAGTGCGTACAGTGGGTAGATGAAGCTAAACTAAACCAAATGAGGCGGGAAGGCATTCGTTATGCTAGAATTCAGCTTTGCGACAATGATATCTACTTCATCCCTAGAAATGTCATTCATCAGTTTAAAACAGTTTCGGCAGTGTGCAGCCTAGCCTGGCATATAAGGCTTAAACAGTACCACCCTGTTGTGGAAGCCACTCAAAATACAGAAAGCAGTGCCAACATGGACTGTGGTTTAACTGGAAAGCGAGAATTAGAAGTTGACTCCGAATGTGTGAGGATAAAAACTGAATCTGAAGAAACATGCACAGAGATGCAGCTGTTGACAACTACTTCATCATCCTTCCCACCTGCATCAGAACTTAATCTACAGCAAGATCAGAAGACTCAGCCTATTTCAGTTTTAAAAGTGGAAAGTAGACTGGACTCTGACCCGCAACACAGTCTGCAAGAACATTCAACCACTTCTGTGTGATATGTACATATTCAAACACATTTTTTAACTTTTTTAAATTTTGATGTGAAGTTATAGTTTTATAACTGGCTTAAGTTAAGTTTTATTGGAGAAATCTTGCCTATAATTCTATAAAGAGAAATGACATTCCACAAATGTCAGGCATATCTTTTTTACACAGATTATGCAAAGTTAAGAGTTGTATCTTATCCCGTTAGTACAGTATGTAATAGTGGGTCTGCTGCTACTTTCTGTTTTAAGGTGTGAGGTAACAATTCAATCTCTTCTTCAAATCAAAACGAGAATTCTCTGGAATAACAGATTCATATGTGGTAAATTATTCACTTCCCTTAATTTTATCTTGCCTTGTCTTTTGCCATATTTGCTGTTTTTATGGATAAATCAGATTTATGGTTTAGTACCTATGTCTTCATGGCACAGGTTCAGTTTCTACAGTAAACATGGCATAGGTTTCAGGAAAGAATTCCTGCAACTGGTACATGGGCAAGTAAGTTATTTAGTTCTAACCACAAAGAACAAGTACTTTCTAAGGAAAATTCAGTGGCTCTCTGGTTTCGTAACAAAAGAGAAAGCACAGCACTTTCTGATCCAAACTGTCTTTTTTTTGTATCTGTTATTTAAAGCCCAGTGGATATTTCAATTAAAAAAAAAAAGATCTAAAGATGAATAGTCCTTGGTCATTCATTATCCATGGTTCATTAATCTCTTCTAGAATATATGCTAACTGTGGAAGATATTTTGGGTAAAAGAGATAATGTTGACATGATACTCTGTTGTTCTGCTTCCTGGCATCCTCACATTTTGTGGGGATAATTTTGCTTCCTAAAATGATCACAAATATCAAACCTAGAGAATGATAATAGTCTTTCTGATGAGGCTGCCATATTTTGAGCATCAATCTTACGATAAACTATTCTTGTCACTTGGCATCAACCTCTTCATGATAAATATCTACTACTGAGGCACTTTACAATTTTAACTGGTGAATACCTGGGTTTATTTACTATTACTCTGTGTTGCTATTTTCTAAGAAAGAATACACTAGACTTCATCCTACTGTTTTCAGGTAGCCTAATGATTAGTGCCTGAGTATTTACATTTTCTTTTCAAACAGGCACAGTTCACATTGCCAGTATGGTCCTAACTTTCTGTTGTTTTAGAATGTTAACATGATTCACATTATACTTTCTCTTAGTTAATAATACAATAGGCCTTTTGTTTATTAAAGGAAGAGTACTCCCCACACCTAAGACCAGATTCTTGTATCTCCCTGGTTACAGTGCAATTTGGAGATTTTTTTTTTTTCCTGGATGGTAAGATTTGAAATATTTACATTAACATAGGCAAAACAAACAAACAAGATGCTGCTTTATTATGTCTGTCACCATGAAAACTTAGCTGCATCTTTTGAAATATCAATATGAATTTTCTCTAAAATATTCTGAAATAGGTTAAATCTTATATAAATATTACTTTGTGCAATATTGTTGTGTAGTTAAATGCATATTAGCAAAGTATAGAGGTCACTGTGTAAACCGATAGAAAAGTAACCATCAGCAAATACTGCAGTGATTAGTTAGAATCTGTATTATTCCTTATATATATGTATATGTATGTATTCTCTGTTACACAGGATGAAGATAAATAGGGATACATTTCAATGTAAACCATTTATGAATTGGAAGTGATGTTGGCTTTAGTTATCTTTGTAAATAAGGTAATTAGAATGGTATGAAAGGTAATGTGATTATTGCAGGGGTGTTTTTAAATCTTGGGTATAAATTCTAGGGTAAATTCCAGTTTATCAAGACTAGTTTTTATGGGACCTGCCTTTGAGGGTGTTTTTTGTTATTTTGTTAGGGAGGGGGTTAATCACAAAGTGTATGGGTTTGGGTTATTTCTTGTTTTTATTTTTCTGTCCAGAAGAGCTTTACCAGGCTGTGCAAAGTAAAATTCTTCTCAGGCAACATTTGCTTTTAAAAATAATCATGAAGAGCAAGGTTGTTAAAGCAAACATTTTTTTTTTAATTTTTTCTTGTCTTCCAAGATCCGATTTCCCCATCTCCTACTTGCCATCCAGCAGATGCCATCTGTCATCCAAGCTGGTCATTGCTAATAAACAAGGAGACTGTCTCCTGACAGCCAGCACTGTGTATTATCACTCAGGAACCAGCGGATCTGCAAAGACCTACAATCAAAAGCAAATCCCCATTTTCCTTTTATAAAACATTCTACCCTCACCTCCAGTATAAACAAAAGAGTACAATAAAAATGTTTAAAATCATGTACTAATAAAGTCATTGTATGTTAGAATTGCAATAGAATGGAGAGAAACATTTAGCTAGTAACGTATCTGAAAACTGAATGTCCTATGTGAGTATTAGATTTTAATAGCATGCTTTAAAGACTGATTAATATAAAAGCAGAACTTTTGCGTTTTTTACTGCTTTCAAACCTGTATCCTAGTTTAGTGATACAAATGATTGCAATTTTTCTAAATCATTAAATTACTTGGTTTGGTGGAGTGAGGCATGGAGCAATTTGGCGTCTTCTGATTTGTTAAAGTAGTGATGGCAGTAAAGTTGTAGCTGAAATTTAAGCTGATCTTCCTTTTTGGTATGTTATCCGTTGTGCCAGCTCTTGAGATTACTTGCACAATGTGGCTATAAGTTTTAATATTTTGTGGAGCAGAGGGATGTTTTTAAAATATGCTTATGGAAAGGACCCAATAAATGAATATTCCTAACTTAAGTAGAATAATTTTATGGTATCCATTAAAAAGGATAAAACTCTTCCCCTTGCCCCAGAAGTAATTCTCTATACCAAGATATGCTAGGAGTAGATGTTGATTCAAAGTGGTAACCCAAATTCATAAAGCAATAATAAAAACCTACATATTATGTTCCCTCCTCCAAAGTTTTAACTCTTTAAAATTAATTCCTAGGTTTAATTGTACTTTTAATTTGCTTATTCAGTACTTAGAATTTGTTTAACTGCTACTTTATTTTTTAGTGAAAGACTTTTGAAAAGTGCCCTTTTCCCTTAAGAGACAGTTGGAATACCAGCTGACTAATATTACAAGCTCTTGTAGGGGGAAAAGGAGCTTATTAAAGTTCTTTACTAAACTTTGGGAAAAGATGTCTTGCATCAGTCTTACTAGGCACAAAAGTCACACTTAATGACTGGAAAAAACTTGCTTATTGCCTTTCCCTATATAAATATTGTCTAGAATGAAAGAATATAGGAACAAGACTCTCAAATCCATAAAAACCCTTAGTGAATATATTCTTAATCATTAATATTAGCCCATTATATTTTCATCTGAATTTGCCATAAAAAATTTATTTGCATTTATGCCTTTAGGATAATTTTGTATCTTTCTAATCTGTTTTATCATTGCTACAGGTTTTTAAAAAAGAAACTTTCATTAGCTAGCACATGCCAGAGGTTCACCTCTGTGCTAAGTTGTTTTTCAGACAGGTTGTAGCTGTATTTATTGGCCATGCAAGTAGAGGAAATGCACAGTACAAATGTTTTTCTTTAGCACGTAAGGGACCTATCCTTGTCTTGAAAGTTTGTTGCTTTAAAAGCAAGTATCTCTCCATAAATATTATGGCCTTCCATTTTCTTCATACATTTTTTAGGATCCACTTGTGCATGTAGTTGAGACCACTGTCTCTTAAAATATAGCACTTTTCAATTCTAAAGAAATACTTATGTACTACTATCACATGTTGTAAATTTTCATGTAATAGTGTTTTCTGTGACTAAACTCCATTTTGATTGGCAGCTAAGACTTTTTTTCCTGTGGCTTTTATTTATCTAAGAGGTCTTTGCATATAGATGAAATGTATATTTGCCTGGCGGACTATTTTCGTTGTGTGGCCTTAGTTTGTTTATTGACATTAACGAGTGTTTTAAAAAGGTTTTTAATGAATAGTCTTAAATCTAAATTTGTGTGAATAATCCTTTTAACTCAGTGCTTTTTTGTAGCTGTCTAAGTGTGTTAAATTGTTAAGCTATTTCTTTGTAAAATAGGACAATGGAATGCATAGTTTTTTTTTTTTTCCTGTAAAGTATTTTTTTAATAAACAAAGTCTGATTTGTCCTTTACTGGTGTTTCATCTCAAAATGCATTGCGTATGTGAGTTCTAAATACCTGGAACCTGTTTTTAGAGGATGAACCCTTCACTTTCTGTATCCCCTACCACCTAAAAAATTTTAGAAAATCTTAGACTTTTCTTTCCTAAAGATATCTGGGGAAAATTCCATCCATATTGAGATGCAATTAGTTTGGAGGAAGAAAAAAAACACCTGGCATTTGTTGTAGTTATGCCTCTTATTGCTTAAATTGGCTTGTTTCTACTTAAAAGAGGACAGTCTTAACTTTTTATTCTGGTGATATGGATTTTCTTAAACATGCATTGAGTACTAGTGAAGATGGTCTATAGACTTTTATGTCATTGATGTATTAACGCAACACAACAAAATGGATTTATTTCCTCCTCAGTTTTTGTATGAACTTTTCTTTAATTGAAGTACCTGTCCCAAGCACTGATAGCCTTTGGTTCTGATTATGAAAAGAAAATAAAGGGACTTAATATTTTTTAACTTCCACGGGCCAGGCAGTTTATATGAGGGTATCTCATTTAATCCCTACATCCTTAAGAAAGTAACTATCTCCGTAATACAGGTGAGAAAACAGGCTTGTTAGGTTGAACAAATTGCTTAAGATCACAGATTATTGGTTGGGAGAAAGGATTCACACACCTTGTTCGCTAATTGCCTTAGGAAGCATTGAACAGTTTCCAACACGGCACCTGAAAAATGGTTTGCTACTTAACACTATTCTCCAATTCTACTTACCTGATTCGGTTCCTTCACACACTCTCCTCTAAATCTTGTGTGCCAAACGATGAAGTAAAGTTCTTTTGCTATTAATGTAATTGAGGTTAAATATTTACCTGTGCAAAATTCGAAGTTTTTGTCATTTTTTTTTCAAGTTGGCCATTTGTGGTGAAACCCCACAGAATTGTGTTTAGCACTAAGGAAAAGAAAACCTGTCAAAGAGCAAAAGCAGAAGGAAACCACTGCCAATGTGTGCAATATAAAAATAAGTCAGGGTGAAATAATTTTTTATTTATTTGTGGCAAGGTCTCTGTTGCCTAGGCCGAAGTACTGTGGGGCAATCTTAGCTCACTATAGCCTTGAATTCGTGGACTCAGACGATCCTCCCTCAGTCTTCCAAGTAGTTGGGACTACAGGTGCGTGCCACCACCTTTGGCTAATTTGGCTAATTTTTTTTTTTTTTTTGAGACGGAGTCTCGCTCT